GTCAGATGCACTCATCATCTTCAGCATCCGGAGATTTGGAGTGTACATTTCAATCGGGTCAATTGAAGGAGGCGATGTGATTAAATCCCTTTTGGCACACTCATATCCAGGCGAGTCTTTTTTGAGTACATACCGAAGTAGTGCTTTGGAAAGCTGTGCTTTGAGTACACATGTCCAATGCATGCTTTCATCTTGATTTGGAAGCAATGAAGTTATTTCAAAGGGCTGCGTTTGGCTTTGGCGGGCATATTTCAGTAGGTTTTCAACACTTGCTTCCGCAGGGTTGATATCTTTGACTAAATGCTCTGGAAGAAAATGTAGATACCCGTATGAACCGTGAAACATTTTTGTGGTCAATTCGATGCGAGGATCATGAACACGGGCTTGGATGTCGATGTTATCTAGGACCAGGAATGGCCGGATGGTGTAAGACTGAGAACACAAATGTTTGATGGACTTTTGTGCGGCAAGTCCTAGAGTATCCATTGCGGAAAGAGCAGTCTGTCTAGACGAGGTTAATCCAAGGAAGTGAAGATAGTCATTCACACGATCCGAGACTCCACACGCCACAAACGACAAGGAGTTCTGCAATTGCAGACCGTTGAAGCGCCGATTGCAAGCAAAAGCTATCATAGATAACACTGCTATCGGGATCTACAGTCGCAATAGTCAGAATGAATCATCAAGTGTTACTCAGGTGTAACAGCTTACTTGTCTGAGTCGATGAGAGTCTAACAAGGTGTTGTCCATTGGAACCGAATGTGATACTCCCTCAAGGGTTTCAGGAAACTCCGCCGGATGAGCTGAGGCTGAAGTTTCTATTGGTTCGGCTTCACTTGCTTTGCCAATTTCGTCGGATGCTTTATTAGAGCGAATTCTTTCACGAGCTATGTTGGCATCTTCGATTTTTGAGTAGATCAATGCGTGGAGGAATGGCATACTTTTCCGAATGAGGTTTGCGCGAGTTTCTTCAGCTTCAGGCGCCAAGAATGATTCGTCGATCTTATTAGCACTATAGAAAGCACCTTTTGGACCTGTTCCTCGTGGTAGCTCTTCTTGTTTGACAATTGCCTTCGCCTGTAAATATGATGACCTTGTCAGTATTGATGTCTGGGAACGAACATTATGATCATGTTCTGCTTCGAGAGAAAATTGTTAACCTCTCTCAGGACAAAATTGTTCCATCTTTCTAGATCAGTCGGATCAGACCCGTCCAAGATTAGCCGCTTGATGCTGAGCAAGATCTTCTCGGTTGAAGACCAGCCTGTAGATGTCCCCCAAAATTGACGCTTCTTGATGATCTCGGGTTTAGTAGAATCAAGTAAGTTTTGTATGAATTTTTTCGGATTTGACCCAAGCTTGTGGATGTAATCACAGATGTCAATTGTGCGATTTTTTGATTTGTCTGGGGTCTTTGGGTCTTGTTGTGCTTCTCGCCCATGTTGGGCTTCTTGGGGCCCTTCGCGAGCTGGCAGGACACTGGATGGTACATTGGTAGATGACATTCGGGGTAAATCAGAGGTTTGAATTGATACAAAAGATACAAGTAAGGAATTTAGCAAGTAGTAAAAAATTGAAGGGAGCAGGTACGAAACTTGTTGATTGAACGATGAACAGGAAAAGAATGAAATTGTAGCGCGGACTGGAAAGAACCAAAGTCAATAAGGGAGGTAGACAAGATATATAGTGGACACGTCCAATGATAGTGTTCACCATTTGAGATTCTATATCAAATACCTGCCTAGGTAGCCTAGTTTTTGCCGCGAGACCCTTCAGGGTCTACCTGGCTATCACCAGGCTCTAAATCACCGAGATGGCTGAGGGGTTCAGTCAGAATGAGACGATATTTGATTGTCAAGGCTCAGGTGGTTTGATGGATTCCAAAACTCAAGATTACATATGGAACCAACAACTGTAAACTCGCAGCAATCCAGAAAACCAAAATTTCGAAAAGAGCTCTTTTGGAGGCCAATGAAAAGTTTTGCGTTTCATGCATAAGGAGTAATGTGAAACGAGGGAAAGATGCGCCAGAAGCTGGCGCACATCATATCAGAAATACAAGGAATTTCATATTTGGACAAAAATGTTTTATTGGAGGTCCTTTTTTTACCACCAAAACGGAATTTCCCTTGTCACCAAGAATTCAGACATTGCAGGTAAGTCCCCTCCGTGCCTCCGGGGTTTGTTGCGTTTTTTTCCCCCGGAAACTAGGAGGGGACTTAGTTAAGTTAGAAGAACTTGTTTCCTTTCATTCAACTTCTGAAGAAACAATTCGACACTTGGATGATCCATTCCTGCAAAATTCCTCAGATTTACAGCTCGCTATAGGTCTATATCAGCAAGATATGCTTGTATCGTATTCTTCCGGCTCCTCTAGAGGCATATCGTAGCCTTGTATGAGAGATCGATAATAATCGGCTTGTCACTTCAACTTTGAACTCTTGATGCTCAACTAAAGGTTTCGATTGAAGAACGAATATTGAATTGACTTCCGAAACAACTTGAGGACTCATGTCGGTACCCTATAAACAGTAAGCTCATCAGTACCTCCTTTCATCTCTCATTCCTATCTCTGGCACACGATTCTGACGAATTTATACTGTCTTTGATAGGGAATTACCACCAGTTGGTTCGTTAACCATTCAAAGCCACTATATTCTTCTCAATCCCATTCAATGAGGTGTACCACTGAACCGCGCACGACTCTTGATAATATTCAGGTGGATACGAACCCATCAAGTTCAAGCGTAACTTACCCGTTAAAGGACCATCCGGTGCTGTTCTCTTTGGTGGAACTTTCTTGCTCTGTTCATGGGGTTTCTATCGATATGCTCAAGGAAACAAAGAGTTAAAGTATGTATTTTGTTTCCTTCATACACAGATCTTAGTGTTCCAGCGATTTAGAACTGATGGTTCATATAATCGATCGTAGGGAATTGAAGCGTGAGGACATCTGGTCAAGGATTCATTTGGTACCTTTCTTAACCGCCGAATCAGATCGGGATCGATTTCGAAGAGAACAAGCCAACTTGGAACGTGAGAAACAGATTATGGAAGACGTACCTGGCTGGGAGGCTGGCAAGAGCGTTTATAACTCAAAGTCAGTGCTCAACTCACATCTTTCTTCATAATCAGATCGTCGACTTATGTTATTCTCACCTTGTTTGCTTTGATTGGATGTATTGTGCTACGTAGAAAATATGTACCCAAAACTATTGTGCCCATGTAAAGATGCCAACATTCTGCTTAGTAACATGGCTCAGTCAAACATAGACTTGATGTAAGCAGTGTACTATCACACCAAAGACAAAACTTGAGAGCGAGCTCATTCCGAGTGTTATGCAATTAGTTACTTTGAGCATAAGTTTGAAGACAACGAGTAATGGATATGAAAATATGTTGGGCAGGGCATAAGATTGAGTGACAACGAAATAGTAGATGTAACAACAGACCCAGACCAATCATGTTGGAGATACTACAAGTGCCAAACCTCCAGGAAGCGTTGATTAACACCGAAAATGATTCTATAACTTCTTGACCATCAAGACATACAAAACCAACAAGAGACTATCTTCTAGCATACGGACGATTATCATTCTTCCAAACCGCTCCAGCACCAGTCCTAAGACGTTCAACACCCTGAATTGGTTTCTTCTTACGAGTTTCCAATAACCTAGCCTTCTTGGTTCCAATGTTCACAGCACCTACTTTGGTAGTAGCCTTTGAAATCTTAATCGGACGACTACCTACATATTTTCCATTCATCTCTTTCCAAGCTTTCATGAAATCTTCCGGATCTTTATATGATACAAATCCATATCCTTTTGATTTAGTGGTGACTTTATCTCTTACTACTCTTGCTTTGACAAAAGAGGGCCATTTTGAGAATGCTGCTGCTAGACCATCGTCCGAAACTTCTGGTGCGAGGTCTCCCACGAAGAGTCTAAAATGAGCTGTTCGATCATGGGAGAGATACAGATGAGAGTATAAGCGATCACATGTAGGAATTAAGAGAGTGAGGCTGAGTGAAATGAAGCTTTATGAATGAACGAAAGTGAAACTCAACAAGGATCCCATTCCATCAAAGTTTGATCTTCCCAAGTTTCTCCACCAGCTTTACGAATCACTGTAGTTCTAGCCTTTCCCTTATTAGCCTTTTGAACGATATGGGGATTCTGAACCGCATCAGGAGTATAGATAGATTGTTGAGCCGCTACGTTTGCATCGAAACTTGGATCGACATTCGAACCGGAAGCACCAGCACCTGAAACTGCTGAAGAAGTTGGATCGTAGTAAGAAGACGCATGAAGGTTTGGAGCCGATGAATAAGTTTGTTGAGGTCCGGCAGCATAAGATGCTTGATATGCTTGTAACTCGGATGGAGGATAGTAGTTGTAACCCTGTCCTGTACCACTAGCCATGATGACTTTCTTCGATTATATTTTGAGATGTTCAGTGATTCGAAGGATGGAAATGCGTAGTTGATAATGAAGTATCTCAGTTGACTTTGATTGAGGTGGTCTCTTCGACTCAGCGATCTTCTTGGGACAAAGCGAAGACAGTGGGACAAATTCACAATCAAAATCGAGTATCAGACCGGTACCGTTCTTGAGTCGGTACATCACCCGATTCTCATCCATGCTCTCCGAATACGATGATGTCACTGATCCCTTCGAGGCTGAGCACCACAGCAAATTATAATCAAACGATCAATCAACAAGGGACCTTGGAATCATCAGTATTGTAAGTCTCTATCTAGTCGTTCTAAATGGAATGTTCTCATATCAATAGTAATTGACATTCTGCAATTTTCTTCCAACGGAAAATTCAAACCAGAATCATTCAAAAACCAAAGCAAAATGGCGTTGAAATCATCCAAACCGTATGGTAACTGCTCAACAGCTTTTGCTGAACCATCATGGTAATGGTCTATCTCATTTAAAACAATAAAGACAATTTCAAGACAATAAATAACATAACGCGATTCAAAACCCCTGCAGGTACACGGGCCTTCCTTCGCCTTATTATCAAGAATCGCATGTCAGATTGAGAGCTGCGGTGAGGAAATGGACGGAAAAACATTTAGTCGATCAAGCTCATGAATGGGCAGAAAGTTAATACAAATCACTTCTATGGATTAATTCATATGTTCTGATCACTGATCTTATCAAACTGTCCTTTACACTACAAACGACAGATTATTCAATCGATCACAAAACCTATAAACAAGCTGCTGCTGATGGGCTTCTAGTGTGTTATTCATTTAATTTGATTTTTTGATCATAATCTGAACTCTGACCCAATCGACTTTTTTCCCTATCAGTTGCCACAAATTGGAGGTTCAAGAATCCCCAAAGAATGGACTAAGCATGGGAAAATCATGGCAGATATCAAACCTGAAGAATGGAATGGATTTCATGATTTGGTCGTACAAGATGAGATGGCGAGATGTGGTGCATCAGGGTCCGATTAGTTTCTCTTAGATCTACGCAAAGAAGAATTTATCTCACCTCTTCTCACTTCACTCACTCCTCTGTCAGATCGATTGCAGGATTATTTGCTGGTATTTCTTATGTATGTCTTCCACATAATTACAAACTTCGGAAAATCTGATATTGACCTTTTGAATATACTTAATCCCATCTCAGGCTGCGCCATTGATTTGGAAATACGCTTCGACAGAATTGAAAGACAGAATCCTGCCATCACTCTTGGATGGATCGAAACGGATTTGTATTGCCATCACTGAACCTGATGCAGGTAGTGATGTGAAAAATCTATCAACATCAGCCGTGAAAAGTTCGGATGGAAAGCATTGGATTGTCACCGGTTAATATTTCGTTTTTATCTTTGCTTCATATACATCTTGTGGGTTTACATGATCATGTTGATTTTTGTTCACCGATTATTCAGGTACAAAGAAATGTGAGTTGGGTTTGGGGTTCCATATACTGTTTCGGTCGGGTATGTTATTGACCCTGCATTCACCTCGCAACAGGGATCACTAATGGAGTTTGGAGCGATTATTTTGCAACGGCGGTGCGTACCAGAGGTAAACCTGGAGATCCAACGGGGATCAGGTACTGTAATTTTTTCCTCGTTGATCTTATCTAAGGAGATATACATCCAAACTGATGTGTCTCACCTATGATCGGCTAGTGTACTTATAATCCCATTAACAGAAGGTGTGAAGGCGAGCAAGATGATTGTGGGCGGTGGTTGGGCGAGTGGTACGACGTAAGAATATGCACAATCATCTTGAAGTCAGTATTGGTGACTGATCAGTTGGATCAACTCTAGTCGTGTTGTGTTTAATCAAGTAAAAGTTCCAATTGAGTAAGTCGTGAAATCATCTTCATTTCAATATGTCTTAGGTCCTCCTCTACAACTTTTGTTCTTTTCTATTAGAAATCTTGTCGGGGTAGAAAACGAAGGGTTTAAATACATAATGTCCAATTTCAACCATGAGAGGTGCGTATCTCGCTATCATAAGTTTTATTCTTTACCTGCTCCAGTTCAGGCATCTGAATCCGTCTTTGTTTTGATTTGGGTCCCCAGACTTAATCTAGCTTTTCTAGCAAACCGACTCTCAAGGATTTGTATCGAGGACTCCATCGAATATGCTTCTAAACGTCGAGTCTTTAATGCACCATTGATTGAATTAGGAGTCATCAGAAATAAGCTAGGTCATATGGCTCGTCTGGTTGAGTCTCAGCAAGCATGGATAGAAGCTATAGTATACCAATTGGATCATCTAAGTCCGGAGGAGGGAAGTAAAAAGTTAGGTGGTCAAACCGCCTTATTGAAAGCTCATTGTAGTATCGTTCTCGAGTATGCGGCAAGAGAGGCAGTCCAGATCTTTGGTGGATTAGGATATACTCGAGGTGGATTGGGTGAGAAGTGAGTGGAGAAGAATTTCCTCAATTCACGTCACATATCCTTCACGATTTTTACCTTCCATATTAATCCATATCATATTCTTTTCTAGGGTTGAACGTATTTGGCGTGAAGTGAAGAGTGTCTCCATACCTGGTGGTAGTGAGGAGGTTATGTTAGATTTAGGAGTTCGACAACAAATGAAGATTGCATTAGGGATGTCGAGTAAATTATGAGATGATCAGATTTCTCCTCTTGGTAAGCTACTTCTTTTTTCTCTTTCATGTTTCCTTTATTTTGAGTTCAAGATGGAGTAATTAGTCTCGTTTGTAAAATAACTGCATATCATCGTTTTTTCATATCTGCACATATGCAATTGATTTGAAAGAAGTATATAGGTCCTTTGGCAAAAGGAGTGGTATCAGAAAGACTTGAATTGGTTGTAGATTCAGGTTTGATTCATTCAAGGAAATGAATCTCGAGTTGACATGTTTCTTAGGTTCATCTCGCTGCAAAGAACCACACATGAAAAAGTATATCGCTGCATCCTTGATCAACCAATATTTGAATAAGTGAATGAAGTTAGTCTGAGTCTACCTACCGCTATAGATCAGAGGTGATCTGATTTACTTGAAGTGGTAAAGAAACCACTGGAGATATGAGCAGAGGACGTTTGAAAAAAACATAGAGGATACATTGAAAGTAAATGGCTGTTTCAAGAGGGAGGTCATTGAAGGGAGAGCCACAGAATACTTGCAAGTGTTACATGTGTGCCTGGAAGTGCACGCGGAAAAAACTACTCATGTGAGTTGTTTGCACTTTATTGATCTTTAGATCACTGCTAAACTAGCGCTACTGTAGAGTGGATATCTCAATGTGGATTTTTACGAAAAGCCACTTGTTTAGGACAGCCATCACAATTAGGAGGGCCACCATTATCAGGACAACTTCGAACACTGCCATTTTTACATGCTGGTCTCCACTTCTGAGTATTACCAACTGCTCCATCCTTAACACAGATGGCCTTTCCTGTTACAGAGCTCTGTGTGTTGATGCAGGGTGTTGGGATGCCAGGAGCGCATCGCGGGACGCAGGAATCCCTTGCTGATGCAACTACAATGGATGGCATCATTCCTAGGAGGGTCAAGCTGAACACAGCAAATGTAGAAGCAATCTTGATGATCTAGAATAAGCAAAAGGCGTATTGGATTTCAATGATTACATCCTGATAAAAGATCTTTTGCTTCAACTTTAACTGACCATATTGTTGATTTATTGACGAAGCTTTGTTTATTGTGAAGATTTGAAGATTTGCAGTCGCGAATTTATTGCGAATTTAATCTGGGAGAGAAGAAAGGAACTCGCAGTGAGATTTTGGATTGGTTGAGCATGAGAGTCAGTGAAATAATAAAATGATAAAATACTCACATGGTTAGTTTTGATAGATAGGTAAGATCCGGTTGGCCAGGAGTACGGTCTACGAGCACGGCCTGTTTATAGCCAACCAATTGTGTCAGGGTGGCTCTAAGAATCGCTGCTAAAGCCTAAAAGGTGTAGTTACTTACTCAGTAGTAGTCCTAAGATATTCCTCTGGTTACGTGGAATATAGAATACAATGAAACCTAAGGATCAAGAATGAAATGGAATATATATAAGTCTCCCGTTTTCCTAAGATGAACAGAGGTCTCGTCCAACTTTGTGTCGCGAGACCTGAATGTGATAACCCAACAAGATCACTTACATTTGTTTAAGGTAAGCAAGGATGGGTTTCTTAAAGGAGGTTCAGGGATTTTGGATTACTGAAACTTGATTTCAAAACTGGGCAGTTGAACTGAGGTCGACTACGGAATGATCAAATGAAGAAATTTAAGTAAGCAAACATTAGGGACACTCTGTATATATATGAAACTGAGAGAGGTGAAGTACGTTTATTTCACGGTATCCAAATCCTAAGATGGACGATGTTATCTGTTTTTAAGACGTGGAATGATCCAAGAGAAAAGATAGCTTTATAAAGAAATAAGAGGGATTCTAAACTATTGGATCACTGGACTTGCTAAAAAAAGATAACTAATCTGTTAAATACTTGAATTTGGATGGGATAATTTTCTTCTTTTCTTGCAAGGAAGGGTCGAATGCTGTCGAATGGATTCATACATTTTATTTTCACCGGGAAGAAACCAGTGTTATTTTTGTAACTCTGGGATTCGACATAAGTCATTAAACTTCGAAGCGTGCGAGCAGCGTCAAGTGACTTTGTTGAGTTCAAAAAGTCATGTCACAAGAGAGCACAAGAGTGTAAATGAAATCAAATACGAAACTAAGATACATTATTATGCTAACTTAACTAAGTCCCTGACAGGAGTC